GAAGTTACCCACCCTGTGAAGCTCTTAAAATGTAAGGGTTAGAAGACACTCAAGTCTGCTGTGCAGAGCAGAAAGAGCACCAGATTGAGAGTCAAAAGGGTGGATTCAATTTTCAGTGGGCTCTGCAACTTATTAGCTGTGTGACCTTAGGCAAACCACTTAACCTCTCTGTTTCCTGGTAATCATACCCAAGCACAGGCATAATTATGAAGATCAAATGAGATAAAATAAGTGGAGGAACTTTGTAAAATGTAAAGTGCTAGACAAATGTAAGCTATAATCATTTTCCTAAATTAGGTTTCTCCCTGAGAACTGGATCCATTGACATGTCGGGTTTGATTCCCAGAAATGTAATGCATCAGTGTCTAGAAAGGACTAGATTCTTTGTACTGACCATGCTTTGATTTCTCTAATAGAACTTAGACCTGAAAGAGGCCATATGACCAGAGGGTCCACCTTCTGGTATCTGCCCTCCACGGGGTCCTAGCCCAAAGAGGGAGGTCTGAAGTTGGCGGGCCCTGAGGACCACTGTCCACTGTCCTAAGGACTAGGTGACACCTGTCAGCCCTCCTGAACTTCGGTGAGGAAAGCCCTTCTGAGTCACTCAGATTTAAATCCAAACTGGGTCCCACTGCGGGGCCCTCCTGGGTCATCCCACAGTAGAGTTGATCTGCTCTCTGCAAGATTCAACCACTCTCCCATTCTTGGGGCGGGTGGGGTGCTAGCTCAGCCTCTGCCAGCCTGTCTTTTCATCCACCAAGTAAATGGATTGCTGTGGAGAATGAATGGAACAGGTGGATTTGCGCAGGTAGAAGCACTTACCTTGGCATTTGGTACAGTTATGAAACGGTTATAAACTTTCAAATAAATATTGGTTATTATTATCATAGGTGCTATTATTACTACCATTAGCATCAGTAAGAACTAAAAATTTTGTTTAAGGAAATCTTTTTACTAGGATTTCCCTACTGGCATATGAAGAAGCTGTGCCCTAGTGAGGGAAGTGAATAGCTTGGCAGGGGAGATATTACTGGAAGAACCTAGGTCAGGACCCAGCTCCTATGGGGAGGCAAAAATGCCCATGGAAAGGGCAGTTAGTGCCTGAGCTGCACTGTGTGCTTGTGAGGGGAGGAAGGGGTTTGGGAGCAGCTGCCCACAGGCTCAAGAACTGAAAGCTAAGCAGACTTCACAGGGCTCCGCTGCCAAGGAACAGAGGTGAAACTGGCATCTCCTGCAACAGCCCTCAGCACAGAAGAGTCCCACCACAGTACTGCTCTTATGCAGTGACAGACCAGTGACATGCAGATGGGGAAGAGAGGTTCAAAATAGGGGAGCAGGAGCTGCTGAGAATATTTTAGAAAATAATTTTAAATTATAAAGGTAATTAACATAGATGTTATTTTACTGATATTACTGAAAAAATACATCAACTCTACAGAAAATATAAAAAGAGGAAATAATGCCCATAGTCCATCTTCCTAATATACTTTAATAAAATATATTGTTAAGCCTGGGATGGTGGTGCATGCCTGTAATCCTAGCACTCTGGGATGCTGAAGCAGGAAGATCATAAATTCAAGCCCAAACTGGGCAATTAGCAACTTAGTCAAAAACTGTCTCAAAAAAAAAAAAAAAAAAAAAAAAAAAAAAAAAAAAAAAAAAAAAAAAAAGTTGGAGATATAGCTCGGTGTAAAGATTTTGGGCTCAAAATTAAAAAAAAAAAAAAGCCAGCATGGTACATATCTGCATTCCTGTAATCCCACCATTCTGGGAGGCTGAGGTAGGAGAATCAGAAATTTAAGCCCAACTTGGGCAATTTAGCAAGACCTTGCCTCGAAATGAAAAACAGAAAAAGGGCTGGGATGTAGTTCAGTGTGAAAGCCCTGGGTTCAACCCCCAGTATAATCATTCAATCAATCAGGCTAGCTAAGAATGTAGCTCAGCACTCCTTGGGTTCAATTCCCCAGTATGATGACACATGTATACTTTTACATTTGAATAGTACTTTGATATAGTTCCTTCTGTTTTTGCCCAATATCAAAAACAATTTTATTAATTTTTTCTGCTTTATCATGTGCTCTACTGAGAAAACTGAAAAGAAAAAGAGTGAAAATATCCAATGTACAATTAACCACCTTTACATTTTAGGATATTTTCTACTTATGCTTCTTTCATAAAAAACTTGCAAAGTTTATATTGTTTTGTATTCTTTTTCCCCCTTTCCTAAAGTCTTAAACACTTTCCTACATTGTTTAATATCTTTCTATTATGTTATTTTAATGACTTTGTAACATTTTTTTATTTTACTCTAATTTATTTAACAATCTCCTATTGTTGGACATTTAATTATTTATGGTGCTGAGGACTGAACCTAGGACTTCATGACCACTGAGCTACACTCCCATTTGCTAGGTTATTCTCTTTAAGAAAATATTATAAACATTCTTGTAGCTACATGTTTATAAATATTATTATTCTCTTTGGACACATTTCTATATCATTTGGGTCAAATCCATCACACTTTAAGGGTTGTTAGTCAAAATGCCATTAGAAAACACTTCTTTTTGTATCCCCACCAGAAATTTTTCTTTCTGATTTCCCAACATCATAACCATCAATGGGTATTATCACTGCTTTTGTATTTAATATATTCACATATCATACATTTATAAGCATACATTATTGTGTCCTGCTCTTTTTTTAAAAAAAAAACTTAGTATTTCATCAGCAACCCCATGCTGTTAGATTTTATGAGGGGTATATGAGACACTATGCGCAAATTTGACTTGCTCCCCTAAAGCACTTTTTTTGTTGAATATTTAAATTATTTGTCCAAAATTTAAGACTGAAACCTACATCTTCATGCATGGAACTTAAAAAAAAATCACTTAAAAAAGTTTAAATTATTTTCGTGGAATATACACTCAAAAGTGAAATTACATGAAAAATTTATAGGTTCGGTACATATTGCCAAATTGCTTACCAAACAAATGTTAGGTGTGTATAAATACAATGGAAGTATTTGTGAGAGTACCAATTTCCAAGCACCTTCACCGGCCCGGAACTCTATACTGTCCCCCAGTTGGTCGTTTAACAAACAAAAGGAGGTATGTACTATGTGGTTTGCGTGTCTTCGGTTGCTAATGACGCTGACATTTCCCTGTGTTTGTTTACTAGTTATATTTCTGTAGAAAACATTTTGGTAAATATCGAAAACAGGGACAGCTGTTTATCTCGCACAAATTCTGTGTGGAGCGCTGGAGCCACTGGAAGATATGCAGCCAGCCCAGAACCGGGGCACCTACAATTCACAGTGACCTCTTGGAAAGGCGTTCTAAGCAGCGCAAAGGGTCAAACAAGCCGCCCTCCCCCGCCCCAAGCTCCTCCCTCGCCAGCCCTGGAAGGTGAGCAGGTGTCCCCGGTCTGTGCCCAACGCCACAGAAAAGGGCAGGGGATGCGTAGGAAGGCGGAGAGGTCAGGCAATAGCTCTTCCAGCCCAAGCAGGGTCCGCCTAGGCCGGGCAGCGCATCTATCTTCGTCTCTAGCAGGAAATTGGGGATAGTGGTGTTGTGGGTGGGGCGCGCTGGAGTACCCGGAGTGGCAGGCCCTGGGCTGCCGGGGCAACTCCCCTAGTCTGCAGTCTGGAGGCGTCGAGTGTCTAGTGGCGCGTATAGGACTTTCGTGGAGAACCCCTTGCAGAGTTTCGCCTGGATTTATTTCCGCCAGAAATCTGCGTTGGGGAGAATTTGTTGTGTGTGCGCAAATACAATCGCACCGCGAGCCCCCTCGCGGGTTGCCTCGGTGTCGGAGTGGAAGCTGCTGCGCTGCACGCACGTGTTCGAGAGCGGTTCAAAGCGCCCGCGGTTACTGCCGGGAGGCAGAGCTGTCTCTGGGAGCGACGGGGGGACAGAGCTGGGCGAACCCGGCGAGAGGCGTCGCCCAAACTCGTTGGGAGCGAGGAGAGTGGGGCTCGGGTCCGCAGGCCGCGGC